GGAAAAAAAAAAAAAAAAAAAAAACAATACACAAGAAGAAAATGAGATAAATATATTTTTCATTCACTTCACCGATTTGAGTTTAAAATTTGAGTTTTGCTATAGTAAAAAGTTATAAGAAACAGTCACATCTAACTTTTTTACTACAGTAAAAAATTTTCATATAAAATCACATCTTAACTCGAATTAAAAACTCAAATCAACGAACTAAACCGGTATGAGTCTTAGAGGTTGTTTGGTTGGGGGATTCGTCCCCTAATTCAAATCATGGTTCGTGATTCGCTACAGTATTTTCTCTCATAAAAAATACACGTAAATCAAAAATAATTCTAGTCACATAATTTTAATCTATGAATCAAACATCTCCTTAATTATTATTATTTATTTTTAATTAATATTTTTTTATCGATACTATATTAATTTTGGAGTTTCTCCCGTGCATTCAAGTTTTTTGGACTACCATAGGCCACGTAGAACAACGATTGACCATTATCTCATTGAATGATAAACCTGTCGTGCCCGGTCATACGGTGAACACTCACCCACAATATAGTATTTGAAATTGAAAAAAGTTAAAGGTCTCGTTCATTTTATCGATTTGAGTTTTTAGTTTTAAATTTTTACAGTAAATAAATTCTCAGAAAATGTCACATTTAACTTTTTTTTGTTACAATAAAAAACTCTCAAAAAATATCACATCTTAACTTGAATTAAAAATTTAAATTCGCGAAGTGAACGATGCCTAAATGACACCTCAACGTGGCTGTTGATTTGGGTTTCTATGGGACCCACTACTATTTCAAAAATTACTTGTTGCTTTTGTTGGTTTTTCTTGCGTTTATATGAGAATCTCTCTGTTGCTCTTTCTCTTTCTTCTTTTTCTTTTCTCCCTCTTCCTCCTCAGTTTATTTGCTTCCCTGCAAATTACGGGTTAAACTCATGGTCGTCGCTTCGAAAAAAGGGTAAAAATTTAGACCTATCCAGTATACACTTTTAAGTGTAAGTTTAATAATTTTTTCATACGGACAAAACTTGAATTAGGTTTTATTCATATTTAAGATAATCTCAATCTAAAACTTTTTAATTAGTCTGTCAGTTACACTTCTAATCCGCAAAATCCAATTCACAATACTATTAGGACCTGTTTGGTGTGCAGGATTAGGGAGGATTAGATATGGTTAAATTTTAATGTTGTGTTTAGTGAACATTTTTAAAGGAGTGGATTGGATAAATTTTTGTTCAGTACATTATGAATGTTGCTATTTCTTACTGAAGCATGAGATAACTTTTGATTAAAGTATAGTGTGAAAGACACTATTATAAAATTTGAGGTTTGATTATAATTTGTCAAAATTTGAGGGACAAATTGCAATTTTTATATGAGCAAAATATTTTTAAAATTATATTTTTACCTCTCAAGTTTTGGAAAATAACAATTTGACCCCAAATTTTAAAAAGCAAATTATAAAAATACCCTTATCCTAATAACACAACACCAAATATGCTATTGGATTAAATTAAAATCTAATTTTATATTTTTTTATACATTCCAATCCATTATCTTAAAACTATACTATCCTATTCTGCGCATCAAACGAAGCCCTTATATTAGACCAATTCTATGTAATTGAAAGTATTCATTGGTGATCCAAGCATAAATTTCCACATCATTTGCTAGTGCCACATGTTTTGCGTTTTCAATCTATCATCTTTGTATGAGTTCTCTTACAAAGGACGACATTATTAGCTTTCCTAATTTATCATCTTTGTATGAGATCTTATAGTTAGCGGGGAATACGAAGGTAGAAGATCCTGTGGACATGAAGATCACACAACTTCACCAATCAAGGTGAGAGATCAGATCTTAAAAAAAATGAAAAAAAAAAAAAAATTGAAATAATACTTTAGAAAGGTTTTTTTTATTTTTTTTTATAATTAATACTTTAGAAAGGTTTTTTCTTTATAATTAATACTTTAGAAAGGTATTTATTTGTTTATAATAATACTTTAGAAAGGTTGCTATGCTACAAGGATACCTTCTTTCTTCTACATAGAAGTTTTGCTTTAAATATGTTCACATTTACTTTTCAAAAAAATTTCATATTAATTATTCCTCAAAACGTCTTCCTATTGACGCCACTATTAATTAATTTCAACGAATTTACTTGATTAATTCGATTTTGTCATTTTCTCCACCGTCTGTTGTACCTTCTTTGGGCCTGCATTCAAAGGATTATTTTCCTAAAAGAGGATTTATGTATCAAAGTGTGAATAATTCTGAGAGTTATAAATAATACCAGTCAATCAAATTGCTCCAAGCTATTGCTAGTTTTACTTCCGTCATTATGATCACTCACATCACTCATAAATAATCCTCTCTTACTACTTGGTTGTGATACCTGAACTTTCTGGTTTGTTAATAGTTAGATTATCTCTTAAACAGAGAGGTTATTGGAATTGAAATGAATCGTATCAATTGGCATTCAGAGAATCTTAAATCACATCAGCTCAAGTTATATTTGGCACGCCGATGAGAGACATAATTTCAATCTTACAGCAAATAAAAGGAATTGATCCTTATATAATAAGTAAAAAAGTCTTAATAGATCGTTCTTTATTGTTATGTTACTATCCGGTAAACAAAGCTTGAATTTAGTGGTTCTTAAGACTGTTAAAACCACTTTATTAAATAAAAGATATAATTATAGTGTTTAGTAAAAGTGTATAAAAACACTTTATAGTATTAAGTTATTTTAAAAAATTAAAATTTACTGTTTTTAAATTCTATTTCTATTTCTATTTTTGTTTCAAGTAAAATTAGTATTTTTATTAAAAACAAAACAATTCAGAAATGGGTAGAGTGATCAATATTTCTTTAGAACATATGCATGTAGATGTTCTAGAACAACTTTGTAGTTGGTAGATAATGATCTTCCGTAATAGCTTCTCCCTACAAAAGACGCCTGTACAGTCAGCTCCACGTAACAATGCTGTTGACGGTTAGATTTCGTCAACAATAACTGGCTGTGTTACCTTAGAGTTTCCTTTTAGGTTACCGGCCTATGTGTGTAGTGAAAGTGTGGATACTTGTTAGATATGTGTATTTGTGTGTTAAGTGAACTGTATGTAAACAAACATAAGAAATTTTATAGTAGTTCACTCTGTAAAATTAGAGCTACATCCACTGTAATTTTGTATTTCTTTTGAGGGGACAACAATTTACAAGTTATTGCTCTCCTCCTTCTCTTGTGTTTTGTTCTCACCTTTTTATACTGGGCTTCCTTCACCTAGTGGGTTTCTTTGATCGGTGGAAGCACTCAAGTGTCCTCCCTTGGTAGGCCCAGATGTAGCCCACTAATCAGCATTGTTCACTCAGCCAATTAGTCTTCTATTACGGCTCTGTGATTCTCCGTAATGCTTTCCTGTCCCCTGTGGGGCGGTTTGAGAGTTTATAATTAATGCTGACAGACGTCTTCCATTTTTGCACGCAACCCGCCATGTCTTAAAAGAACGTTCCCCTCGTCGCCAGCGCCGTTTTAGCCCCATTCGTCTTCTCTGGCGACCCTTTCTGCGGTCGAGGAATCTCCACACCTTAATTTAGGCGGCACTATCCGTCGGCGCCACAAGGGGTCGTCGCCTTAATCTGGATTTCATTTTTGGGCCTTGCAGTTGATTAGGAGGGAAACGTAGACGTCGAGGGTTGTGTGCTTGGCGGAGAGTGGTTATGGCCATGTGTCATGGTGTCGTTGATCCAGGTGTTCATCACATTTTCCTACACAACAAGTATGATAAGCATTATGTTTACTACGGAAAGGGAAATTAATTAAAAAATAAAAAAAAAACATAAGGGCTTTGTGCAGTTCGACAAGACTAAGCCATATACGTAGCAATACTGGAAAGCCATTTGGTGCTCAACCCATTGTCCACTGAAAGACAAAATTTAAGTCCAAAAAGTTAGGGAAAAAAAAAAGGGGGGGATCTCATGTACGGTTCTGTAGAGTGGCAGTAAGGGTGACTTATCTGTCAACTTTTCCACTATCACCCCCAAAAAACCAAACTCTGCCTTACGTAAAGTTGCCAGAGTACGCTTAACCTCTGGATTTGAAATCACTGCTTATATACCTGGTATTGGCCATAATTTACAAGAACATTCTGTAGTCTTAGTAAGAGGGGGAAGGGTTAAGGATTTACCCGGTGTGAGATATCACATTGTTCGAGGAACCCTAGATGCTGTCGGAGTAAAGGATCGTCAACAAGGGCGTTCTAGTGCGTTGTAGATTCTTATCCAAGACTTGTATCATTTGATGATGCCATGTGAATCGCTAGAAACATGTGAAGTGTATGGCTAACCCAATAACGAAAGTTTCGGTAAGGGAACCGGAGCAGGCTACCATGAGACAAAAGATTTTCTTTCTAAAGAGATTCTATTCGTAACTATTATATGTCCAAGGTCCAATATTGAAATAATTTCAGAGGTTTTCCTTGACTTTGTCCGTGTCAACAAACAATTCGAAATGCCTCGACTTTTTTAGAACAGGTCCGAGTCAAATAGCAATGATTCGAAGCACTTCTTTTTACACTATTTCGGAAACCCAAGTTTTTTTTTTTTTTTTCCTGTTTATAGCTATATTTTCTGGTTGAGATCTGTTTTTCTAAAAGAAAATAATATATCTGGTCTGTATGAAAGTGGTATTTCTTTAAAAAGACAAAAAAGTGCATCAATCTTTAGACCGTTAATCATACCTACGGGGGTCATTTGGGTAATTTTGAAATGAGTGGTAACGACCACAAAACGAACTGATTTTTTCGGTCCTTCTTTCCCTCCTCCGCCATCTGTCTCTGGCTCTATCGTTCTCATGGCTTCTCGACTCTCATTCAGTCCAATCCCAGAATTCTCTGTTAAAAGTTTCCCAAAACAACCCCGACAAGTGCCTCTTTTTGCAATTCCGCCACTGGGTTTCCCGTCAAAGTATGCTCATTCAAGAACCATATCTAGCTCCAGAGTTGAATTTGTACATTCGCTTCGGGCTGTGAGAGAGGAAGTCGTACAATCTCCAAATTCAGAATCCACAGATGATTCCAAAACCGCCCCTTCTTCCTCTTCCAAGCTCGTTCTCGTCGTTGGTGGCACCGGGGGTGTTGGTATGGCCTAATCGTCTTTTTCCACTCTGTATTCTTCTTTCTTTTGCTTATGATGAAGTATATGCGTAAACGATTATCTTATTGAAACTTTCGATATGTTTGTTTGGGATTTGGAGATCTAACAAATTCTGTCTCTTTTAATTCGTGTGTTATTATGTAACCAACCTTAATTGAAAACATCGACATTCTTCCTTCCATATTTGAATCCTTTGTAACCGTTTTCTTTCTTGTAACCAACTATTTGTGGTGGTTTATCTGTTGTCGAAATCGAATCATAATCAATTTTGCCTTCTGTTCTGCCTTCTGCCTAATGGAAAATATTTTATGCTAAGTTCAACGAACATCGCATCTTGAAAGTTGTGTTCAACTCTTGTTTGACATTCAGAAGTTTGTTTATGTATTTTTTTTTTCCTTTGAGTAATTCAATTAGAGTTTGGTACTACTTTTGTATAATTTGATTGTTTTAGTACTGTGTATTATTTATCATCCCGTTACTTTTGAAAGTAATGAACTTCTTATTCTTATGTTGTCCTGAATATTTTATTTCTATACTATAATACTAGTAAGTATCGATACTGACGAAAATATGTTATAAATTTAGTGTTTGGGTTAAGCACTGTGTGAATAGATTGGGTTGGTTACCAAATTTAGTTTTTACGGTGTGGGTGGACAGTTACTCAGTTACTCTCCCTCGCCCTCTCCCCTCTCTCTTTTCCTCTTCTTCTTTCTCATCTGCAAAAGCAATTCTCAATTGCAATTGGCGAGGATGAAGGCGGTGCACGCATTGTCGCCGATTATCGTCTTGGTGCCTGCTTTTTACATTTACAATGACTGAAGTAAATAATAAACCAATCGGATAACCGGCTGAAGATGTGAGTCTTGGATAAAAAGATGAATCTTCAAGCAAAGGAATAATATCCGGCCAATTAAGTCGTCAAGAATTCAAGATAATTCAACAAATTTTGACGGTGAAATTTCTTGCTTCTGATGAATGTATTTCTCTCAGGGCAATTGGTAGTTGCATCGTTGCTCAACCGGAATATAAAGTCACGCCTAATACTGCGGGACCCTCAGAAAGCTGCTACGTTATTTGGTGAACAAGATGAAGAGACATTACAGGTACCTACTTCCTTGTGACTTATTCATCTGTTATCATGAACTTTTAATTGTGCTGAATTGTCCCCAAATCTAATATAAAGTTTCTCTGTGCCTCAAAATCAATGAATGATGTTACAATTTGATAGGAAATGCTCTCATACACATGATATGATGTGCTTCATCTGTCATTTAAAGTTTAGTTCCTTCCTTCAAATTAACGAGTTTATGTAACGTGCATGAGAGCGTTTTCTTCCGAATTTAATAGCCATCATCAATTTGGAGCACTCTCCAACACTTTGCCAATCAATTCAAAATGTAATTTGTCAAAGTTAAAAGTTTAGTGGAAAAATTGTCAACCGGGAGGCAGATATGCCATATACCCTATACTTTATTCCCACTGGCTTATTATTATATGGAGTCTCTAATTTTTGGTTTGACTTAACTGTGTGTGATACAAAATTTCTTGCTTCACATACTCTTCAAAATTTCTTGGCATATTCACATATTGTTATAAAGTCTCTGTTTTATTCTTTTTTTTTTTTTTTTCCCCCACTGAAGGAAGTTACAGAGATTTTGAACTTGACAGGTATTCACAGGAGACACTCGGAACCCAGGAGATCTAGATCCAAGTATTTTTGAGGTTCGTGCTTTTTTAGCTTTCCGCACAACACTAGAATGTGGGTTCGTGGTTGCGATTTCTTTACTGAATTGCCTTGGTTATATTACATTGTCTTGCAGGGAGTCACACATGTCATATGCTGCACCGGGACAACGGCTTTTCCTTCGAAACGGTGGGATGGAGATAACACTCCAGAAAGAGTAGGTGAGATTACCTAACTATCTGAACTTCTTGGCTACGGTATTGATATAAAGTATGGCATGGAATGGAAAACAAAAACTATGAAATCTTTGTTTGTAGAACTTCAGATGCATTACGTAACATCTTTTAAAACATGAAGCTGTACACGCATAGGCACACAAAAAAAAAAACGTGCGTGAAGCGTCGATCGTGCTAAATCTGCTTTCGTTACTTTTGAGTCTTGACTAGATGTTTTCTTTTGAAGATTGGGAGGGTGTGAAAAATCTTGTATCTGCTCTTCCTTCGTCAGTGAAGAGGGTTGTTCTTGTTTCGTCAGTAGGTGTAACCAAGTTTAACGAACTGCCTTGGAGGTAAGACTAACGGTGAGTACAGTTGATTTTCTTTGCAAATTAATTAGCAATTTCGTTCACATTAACGGCCTTGTGGATTTTTTTTCTAGTTACATGTAAACTTATTATACATTTGCAAGTTTGTCTTTATGAGATTGAATATCTCCTCGAAATTGGGATTTTTTTTTCCTTCCTTGTTTTGGAGAAAATGTTCAAATAGTTTGAGTTTTGGCTAGAATAGCAGAAAGTAGGGAAATAAACTTAACGAAACAATGATATTAATACATTTAACAAGACAAGAAATAAACTTTTTTCTAGGTGTTTTTAGTGCCTTTGACCTGTATATGCAGTCCAGGAGGGTTTCTGCTGTACATCAGGTCTATTTTGAGTTCATCCAAGGAAAATTAATTGTATTCTTTTGTTTTTCCTCTTTAATTTTGTTTTATCCTTAAACACTAAGGCTTTTGTGATCATGTGCACAAACTGAAGTTTGACCCATTTAATTGAATTCTTTAAATCCTAATCGTCGTGGTCTCTTTTTTGGTAATTGATAACCACTACTCAATCTCTTTGTTGCACTTTCACAAAATTAATGAGAATTTCTTTTTCACAAAATTAATAGCATCATGAACCTTTTTGGTGTTCTCAAATACAAGAAGATGGGGGAGGATTTTCTCCAAAATTCTGGTCTACCATTTACAATCATCAGGTTCGTTTGAGAGACCAAAATTTATCATAATGAAAATTGAATGAGATCCAGCTTAGCAGAAAGTTTCTGCATAATCTTACATTTTTGCTTATTTCTTGTTTATATCTATACAGAGCTGGAAGATTGACGGATGGTCCCTACACATCATATGATCTAAATACTTTGCTTAAAGCTACCGCCGGGCAACGGCGCGCAGTTCTTATCGGTCGAGGTATGTTGTTTGAAATAATACAAGTTAGAACATTTCTTTTTAAGGAAAAAAAGAAACAACTGCCATTGTATAGACTACGAGAACAATTCATGAGGCCTAATCACTTTCCTGTAGTATCATACCATGGTAGAAAATGGATTTTTGCAGCAAAAAAGAACAGATCACAAATTAAAGCATAAAATAATGCGTAAATAGAATAGGTGGTTTTCATGCTAATGTTCTCTAAATCTCCCAACTCCTGATTAGGGCTTTTGAAACCAGATTAATATGATTAACCATCTTTTATATATGCATACCTCATTTTGTTTAACAAATTTGGTCTCAGGGGATAAACTAGTTGGTGAGGTCAGCAGACTTGTTGTAGCTGAAGCTTGCATACAAGCGTTGGACATAGAATTCACTCGGGGCAAAATTTACGAAATCAACTCAATTGAGGTAATTCTCCCAAGATTGCATTAAAATTACATGTTGGCTATGGTGAACAATGCCTCTCAAGAGAATACCACTTTGTCATGTTAAAAAGGAAGTCCTTTGGCTAAAACTCCTAGCATTTTTTGCAGGGAGAAGGACCGGGAAGCGATCAGCAAAAGTGGCGAGAACTATTCGAAGCCGTGGAAACAAAGTAATTAGATACACATTTCATTGGTTCTTCTCCCTTTATGTATCTATTTAAGATGATGTTGCAAAGAGTAAAATTGCGGGTGACACATAAATTGCCTATGAAATGTATATAGACATCATACATGATATTTTTGGTGTTCTTCTTCTGTTATTTCCTGGCGTTCGCAACTCAGGAACGTACTTTTTTTTTTTTTTCCCTTTCTTTTTCATTGCTAACAAGTTAATTTGCCTGGATATGACATATAACGACGGACTATATTGACTTGGCTTGCAAAGTTGACAAAGTTTTGAAACAGGCTTTTAGAAAGGAGAAAGCAATTGGCTTATGGTCTGGCCACACCCCTCCATGAGGGATATGGCTTTTAAGACACAGAAGTATCCAAGCTCGGCATGAAACCACGCGCCACGCATGTTATATTTTTTTTTAGATGCAAAGATTTAAACTTTTTTTCAAAATTTTCTACTGACTTAGTATTCTTTTAAGAGTTTAGTTTAGTAAAAAATAACAGATAAAACAATTTAAGTAGAACATAGTTAAAAGGAAAACAAAGTTTTTAGTGGAGCAAATGAGAGAGTAAATTATTTTTAAAGTACATGTGAAAAAATTGTATTTAAACGGGGTTATAAGGAAAAAAAAAATATTTAGGCAGACACACATTTGAGAATATATAATATCAATTATCAATAGAGCAATTAGAAAATATATATATATATTTAATGAAGGTCACATTTGGAAAAAGAATATTAAGTAGACTCAGATGTGAAAGAAACTAATTAGACGGAGATAAATTAAAATAGTTTTATTTATGAGATAAATAAGTTGAGAGTACCACCGAAAAAAATACACATGTAAATATAGTGATAAGAAAAATTGATTCGAGAAACACATGAAAAATGATTTAATTGCATAACATAAATTATCTTAGTAAGTGAAAAGTGAGAAAAAGTATTTTAAAAAAACAAATTGTAAATAAAATTAAAGTGTATGGGAACTTTGAAAAAAAAATTAGGAAAAATAAAAATAAAAAAATAAATCAAGAAATGCTTTAAAAAAAAAAACAAAATAAAAAGGTGATGTCCATGTGTCAGAAAGGAGAAGCTCCTTGTAATGCCAGTATGCCATATGTTAAAAGAAGGAAAAAAGATTTTTAACTTTTTTTATGTATGTTAAGGATAAATTAGTAGGACTAATTCAAGGTCTTCGTTTGGTTATTTTAGGATCCAAATTAATTATTTAGTTATATTGTTAATTTATTCAATGAATTAGGTTTTCTCTACAATTGCAATAGAACTTTGACATTACGCCTCTTTTTTTTTTATTATTTTGTATTGAGTAATTCTCACGTGGTATCAGAACCGTATAATTTTGAGAATTAATTATTTGCTAATTCATGATTTCGGATGCACAATTGTGCAATATGGCATTGATGAGGTTTTGGTGAAGGTATCTTGGAATTCGTTCATTGACGAAATTGAATAAAGGATGGTAGTAAAAAAAAAAGGCTTGCGATTGAAATTGGAGAAGCATGGGTGGTACAATAGTTACGCTAGCGTTGGTTTTGTTTTCTGACGGATGGATTAAAAAAAATAATAATAATAAAAATAAAAAAATAAAAAAATAAAAAAAAGAGTAGAGAATTTGCGTTTTGGAGATCTTAAAATTTGTTGAGTCCAATGACAGTGGGCTTCTGCTCGCTTCCGCTTTGATAGCTTCCGTTTGGGCTCTATCGTATTGAGTGGTGGGCTTGGGCATTGGCATTGATATTAACTTTGGCATTAATATTGAAATTGGCATTGGCATTAGCATCCGTATCAACATAAATATCGGATCAACATCGGCATACGCATAAAATCACAAAATTGTTTATGAAACCCTGTTTCAATTTTAATTTTGTTTTTTATTTTTCAGTTCGCAAACTCTTGATGCTTATTACAATCGCATCATAAATTTGAGATGACATGTTAAGTCTATTTATCTTTATTTTAAAATTATAATTAGTTATTTAGTTATTTCTCTTTATTAGTAAGAGTAAATTAGGGGCTGTTCGGGAGACTTTAGTCTTTTATTATTATGCTTGTAGGGCTATATAAACTCTTCTTTGTTAGTTTATTCAATAAATTCAATTTTCTCTACAATTGCAATAAAATTTTGATATTTGGCCTTTCTTTTCTTTTCTATTTCTATTTTGAATTGGGTAATTCTCGCCGTGCTTACCAACTTTTATCTTTGTTGATAAACAGAGAACAAAGAACGCACATAATCAGGTATAAGTGGACCCCACTGAAAGATCAGGAAATTACTGATCGAAAGTGAGCTCCTGGACACTTAGGTCTCGTTCATTTTACAGATTCGAGTTGAAATGTGACATTTTCTGATAACTTTTCACTATAACAGAAAAAATTAGATTGATATTTTCTGAGAGTTTTTTACTGTAAAAATCTAAAACTAAAAACTCGAATCGATAAAATGAACGAAACCTTACCGACTTCTATCTTTGAAACCCGATGCATACAAAGTTTCTAATCACACGATGAAAACAACAGTTTGTGACACGCTACAAAAATTTGTGTGGTTATAGCAAGGCCACAACATATGATAAAAGAAGTTGTGCCTACTCTTTACTGAAAACAGGCACATTGCCTGCCTGGCGTTTCTTGCAACACCAAATTTCCGGGTATACTTGAAAAACTTGCAGAGATATTATTAATCAAACTTTGACTAGTTGAACAATTAGCCCAGTCGTATAGTATATAACTAGTGACTTTCCTCCCACCATTTATGTTTTCTAGTAAAATGATGTTTTATGTCCACTTTGAATCAGGATTTTTGCATTGATTGCTTTTGCAATAGGAGAGCTGGATACATGCCAATAAACTTTGAACACTCTAGTCTCTTTTCCCCCAAAACCGGCATACCACTCTATCTTGTTCAGCCACCAAAAAAGAAAACTAAAAGTACTATAAGCTGTTTTATTCATGCCACTTAATCAACGAGATAATTAATCTTAATAAAAGGATCTAATGAACATGTTTGAACAAAAATTATGATTATATTTCTACAAGATAACAAGTTCATGAGAGAGAGAGAGAGAGAGGCAGGGCAGGAAAAAAGAACAGGCAGAAGACTAGAATAACATTACATGTTTAATTCGTAGAGTTGTTAGTTGTTACCAATGAACTCTCCTCGCGCATCCCAAGGGCGATTTTCAAAGGATTTTCCTATTATACTGCGCCTCTCAATAACAGTTCCATCTTCGGAGCGATATTCTGGAAAGTAATCCAGGAAACCTTTGCTTCCTAGTTCATTGATTCCGTGAAAAAGGAAGTTCCTCAGCAAGTTCTACAAGGATTGCAAAAAAAGTTTAGAACAAGACTGCTGATTGGTGCCGACAGGGATAACGTAATTAAATAGTTCTATACCTTTGCTGCTGTATGCCCAACCAACTTCTTCAAAACGCCATGACCAGGATCCTGCTTTCCAGAAAATTAACGGACCAAATGAGTGCTCATATAGCCAAATTTTCTTTCTTTAGTTTTCTTTTTTTCCTTTTTTTCTGTTTGTCATTTTATTAGAAGTTGGAACTAAAAGCTGATTTCCACACTCCGAAGACCAAAAAGATATGTGCATTAATCCGTGGTTAAATTGTTTTGAGGAGTTCTATATCTGAACAATGTTATGAGCCTCAGTGAAACCTGATTTTCTTTACTTTATTTAACTTCCCATGTCAGTTTCTTTCATGATTATGTTAAAAACAGATTCGCGGAACTTCTAATTCCTGTTTTCCCTGATACCAGTTCTTTCTATCTCATTTGTTATTTCTTGAAACATTTTGAACTTCCTTTATACGAGGAGACCAAAGGCACGCAAGTATGACACAAAATAAAAAATTTTAATCTAATAGAAGTTGATAGAAAAAGAAAATACAATCCATAGAAGAAAACATGAGCCAAAACATTAATCACCTTTTCTGCTCGCCATGCCAAATACCTATGTTGTGCCTCACGGTTGCCTGTGATTCTCGACTCATTGTTCTCCTCTGTTGCTTCATCCATCAGCTCAAGCCACGCCTGTAGAAACATAGGAAAATGTAAGACGGTAATGTTTTAAAACTTTTGGTCATCGAGCAGAAACAGATCGACCAAATTAATGCTAGATATTTCTAGTTGAAAGGGAAAAAGCTATTTCATTTATACCATGTAATAATCCACAAATGCAGAATATAAGACATCATAGTTGTGTTGGGTTGGAGTAAATTTGGTCCAAATAACAATTGGTGAGAAAAACTTTAAAGACTCGCTGGTAAGCTTTCCTCCCCAGGGCAAAAGCTGCATGAAATCTGTGTTAAAAGTCATCATGCCATAAATTTTAGAAAATATCCTGATAAAAAAGATATAAAGATTACGAAACATCGTTATATTTTAATGTTCTGGTAACACACATTGCACTTACCTCGGCATATTTAACTCCAAGAGGCATCAAGCTTTTGTAGTACTTCTCTCTGTAATCTCTTTGACTGATGATGTCATGCAAAGGGTTAAGATCCCTATAAATGGTCAAGTAGGGGTTAAGTTTTCCCTCACTATTCAATAGTGTAGAACATACCGTATATGCCCGGCTAAGAGAGAGATCAAATTTTTCTCTAAGAACTAATTTGATGCGATAATATTAAGATAATGCAAAGCAGTTTTTTTATGAAAACATAGGTAAACATAATTGACAGCCATCCCATTATCCAATGAAGTTACAAGATTTAGAGAAAGGAAAGCTTACAGTAAAACTATATTTGTACTTGCATTGGAGAAGAAATTGGCACAAAATATGGGTAGGTCATATTCTGGTTTTGGGAAGACAGCAAAATCCAAAACCTGCAAAAAGGGGGGAAAATGAAATGAATTCCAAACTGAAAAGAATATATGCTGAAGAAAGCTAAAATCCTACTCAGGGAATGAAGCCACATTCCATCCACACCACACAATATATATGAATGCAGAAGAAGAAATCCAAGAAGCAATGAGTCTATAATTCATCTTCTGGATAGTTTTCGGAGAATTCAACTTTTCTACAGGGAACCCCGATCGGAACTCTCCTTGATATTGGTAAGCACTACTGATCAAGGGTCCGTGAAATAACATCAAACTTCTGTTATCTTTCCCTTAAAGACACAGAATTTATGATAGATGTCCTATCAAGTTATAGAATACTACCTGCATTGTTTCTCTCTCAATACTCAGACTTCGCAGAAGTCTAATCTTTGGAGCTTGGAATGATCGCATTTGAAGCTCCACTGTACCATCCGTGGAAATCATTGAACTATAACTTTCCTGATGACAATAAAAACACACTTCATCATAAGTAGAAGGGCGTACTCACATGTAACAAACAAAAAACATAAATATGCACCCGCACAAATACATGTAAGGGCACGCGCTAAAGACACGCAGAACGTGCAGTGATAACAAAAGCCTCTCCTGTGTTTTAATGAAATGTTGCATTCCGCCCTATGTTTTCATATATGTTATACTAATGCCCCGCGTTTACAAAACCGTCCTATAGGGGAGGTGTGGCATTCTTGAAAACCTAAGGTGATACACGACATTTCCGATGACGTGCAAGGGAGGTTTCTGTTACTAATTAGACATGCATTTGGTGAATATGAATTAATAATTAATTATTAACTTGTATCAACTTTTAGTAGGAAGACAGAATAAAGTTTGATGCAATGATATGAAAAGGTATTAGTAATTCTTTCTCTTCCACGGCTCGAACAAACTGAAACAGCATTAGCTCACAACAAGCCAGAGTCATTCTCAGAGAATAAACTGAAAACCAATTACAATACATGAACAATAACGCTGCAAAAGATTCTACTTTTTTTCCCCTCTTGTTTCAGTTTCTGATCTAAAAGCTTTTTAAAGGAATTTTTGTTTTCAAGTGGAAGAATCTAAAACCGTGGCTTCAAAATTACGCAACTTATCACACTCCTTTTCCCCTCTATTCAAGCCCCAAAATTTCTCTCCATGTTACAAAAACAAAAAAGCATTTTTTTTTCAGAAAAATAAACTGAGACGCACAAAGGCTACGCGTAATTCCTAAATAATGAAAAAAAAAAAGAAATTGACTTCATGAGTTCCTAAAAACATCCATTCTTTCAACAACAATATCAATACTCAATATATATATATATATATATATATATTATACCAATTTCAAAGCACCAACCAAAGGATTTTGTTAACTACAGCAAAGAATACACAGCTCTATTGCCAGTAATTACAAGCTGTGTAAGAAATTCACCGAAAGAAAAGAGACCAGTTTTAACCTTCAAATGGAACAAACCCAATAACCCATTTTGGAGAACAGAAAAAAAAAAAAAAAAAAAAAAAAAAAAAACATTATACAGAGACATAAAAGCCAACAATAGAAGGACATGAATAATGAGTGACCTGCAGAGGAGAAGCGGCCAAATGGGTGTGCCGTTTGGTCTGGTCCAAAGCAAAGTTAATGAATTTCTGATAAGAGATTGCGGAGGCTTGCAAGGACGGTCTCTTCTGCTTCCAACTACACCTGAGACTCGTCAGTAAGACTGTGCTGGTAAGTGGCCGAGGAATTTGTGGTCGAAGGAAGCGCAACGAAGAAGAAGAAGAATAAGAAAAAGAAGAAGTTTCCATTGAAGAAGATAAGAGCTTCCACTGAAGCTCCCGACATTAAAGCCCTCGCTGCAGTGTCCCACTCTCTCTTCTCTCTCTGTCTCTCTCTAGCTCTGTGGGTTTTGCCTCTCTCTCTCTCTCTCTCTCTCTCTCTCTCTCTCTCAACAGTTCAGTTTAGCTTCGATTAGATTCCAGTTTTCTTTTTTTTGTTACTTGGATACTTTTTACGTATTTACCATGTACTGTATTGTACTGGTCGAAAAAAATACTCTTTTTTATATTATTTTCTTTTTCCAAGAATGGGACCACTGCACTTGCGGAAAGTTTGAAAAAAAAAATAAAGAAATACTGAAATGAAAGAGTGAAAAAACTATTATGGAAATTTGGGTTTTAAAAACCCATCTCCGGCTTGCCGTCAGATGGTGGGAGGAGGCATTTGGGTATTAGGTCCAACTTTAAAATTTGGGGGTGTGTGTTAAAAGAAAAAAAGTCGGGGATATTACACTCCTAAATTTTTAAAATTTAATAGCATTTGAAGTCTAATAGTTGACTAACATTATTAAATTAATAGTTCAGGATACCAGATTTAATTGTGATCTGATTTTAAAAAATGACAAGTTTTGACTGATTAGTACATTGTTTTGTCTACTATTTTTGGTCCCCTGACTTCACTTAGAGGCACCGTTCACTTCGCTGATTCGAATTTAGAATTTGAGTTTTTCTACAGTAAAAAGCTCTCACAAACAATCACATTTAACTTTTTTGCTACAGTAAAAAGCTCTCACATAAAGTCACATCTCAACTCAAATTCTAAACTCGAATCAGCGAAGTGAACGGGGCCATTTGGTACGAGGGTTCATCAAATTAGGATGATTCTAATTTTGATTTTGAAACTAGAACCATAATTCATAATTTTAGGTTTAAATTATGGTTCTGAAACCAGAACTAGAATCAGAGTTTGAACCATCTAAAATCAAGGAATGTGGTGGTTTTAGAATCAATGGTGATTCTGATTTAAAACATCACATCAATATTTAAATCGTGAATCAAAATCATCCAAACTAAACATTGATTCTGAATAAATCAAATCAAAATCACTTTTTACTTTTTGTAAACAAACACTCGTTTAAACCAGAATCATGGTTCCGGATTCTGAAACCCTTATGTCAAACGTGCTCTTGCTGGTTGAAAACAATGTCTTTCCACAGGGTATTTTTTTTCCATACCCTACTAAATAATTCTCCATTAGATCAAGAAAATATATATTCTCATGAAAAAATAGATAAAGATCTTATGGTAAAAACTTTTTGCAAT